AGCCCCCAGACACCCTTTTAGCCCAGTACTGAAGTCACTCCTGAAGTGCACCCTTCAGCCAAAAATTAGACAGACCCATAAAACAAACAATAATACACGTAGCTCAACAACATATATGAGACTAAATGGGCACACTAGTCCAGGGGCAAGGACAAGGAGGCAGAAGGGGACAGGAAAGCTGGTAATGGGGAACCCAAGGTCGAGAAGGGAGAGTGCTGACACGTGAGGTTGGCAGCCAATGTCACAAAACAATATGTATATTAATTGTTTAATGAGAAACTACTTTGCTCTGTAAACCTTCATCTAAAGGACAATTAAAAAAATAAAAAGTTTTCTTTAGAATGGATCTTCCATGTCGGCGAGGGAAGGAGGGGAGAGAGACACCAGAGCAAAAAAGCTTCGTTTTCTGAAGCACAAAGGCTTTTCCTGAGTCTACTGTAAAGGATGTTTGCCCAGCAGAAATGACACAAAACAAGAGCTAACTCACAGTTCGAACAAGTGCCTGCTCACTTCTGCATCGACAGCACTGAGAGGGTCGTCCAGGAGGTAGATGTCTGCATCTTGATACACCGCTCTAAAAAAATGCAGAGATAATCACACAGGGGAACGCTTCATACTTCTCAACTCTTGCCTAACGAATTACGACAGTGTTGAACAATTTCGATGTTCATTCCAAAAGAGCAAACAGAATGATCCAAGACAAGGCCTTCACACAGCACGCACCCACACACAGTAAGCAGGTTCTATGCATTCGCCATGCTTACAAGTAGCTCAAGAGATGTGCAGAGCAGCAATTTTAACACACTTGCTTCTATCCAGTGTATATCCAAAGTCATTAACCCTTAAAGGTGCCAAGAGGACTTTATAAACATCTCCTGTGTTCAAAGAAAAACTTGGGAGAGCTTTTGTGATGTACGCTTAGCAATTAGAATACCTTCCTCTCACCTCCATAATGACACTAACATAAGGGCCCACCATGAACTGGTCTGTAAGTGATGGAGGATTTGTGCTGGCTCACACAGTCGGGGTGGTAGATATTTCTGAGTTCAGCGTAGGGAGCTGAGGCAGCGGGAACAGGGAGGCTAAGCTAATCATGAGGCCTGCCACCGGCCCGTGATTTACCTTGCGAGGTTGACCCGTGCCTTCTGCCCTCCACTCAGCGTGGCTCCCCGATCTCCTATCACAGTTAGATCGCCGTCCTCCAAAAGCTGTAAATCCTACATGGAGAAAGGGAAAAAAGAAAACTTAAAATGTCATTTTCCTGCTGTCATCCTCAACTTCCAGCATTAGTTCTTCAGGAATATACTTGGATTTGATTAAGAGCAATGCAGGTTATTTCATAGTGGCTAAATTCCTGAACCTTTCAGAAAACTCCTAGGGCTTTTGGGTTCGTTCCTACAGTTTTTTGTTTTTTTTCAGAGATTTATACATCTAATCAATTTTACAGGTACTTACTGAGCACCAACTAAGTAGCAGGCACCGGGTGGGGACAGCAAACAGCGCGAGCAAAACATAGTTCCTGGAGTTTCCATGGCAGGAGAATGACAATATAAAAGCAAGCAGACGATTATGAATGAAAATGGTGATGGGCACGAGAAGAAACAATGAAGCAGGCTTAGAGGGATACAGAAGGATGGAAGAAATGTCCATTTTATACAGAGGCTCAGGAAGGTCTCAGATCAGAGGGGACTTGAGCACAGACTTGTGGAAGGTGGAGTGAGCCGAGGCTCTGGGGCAGATGCATGGCCAGTGCGCTCCAACAATAGCAAGGAGGCCAGTCCAGCTGCAGCACGGTGCGTAAACAGTGGTGGACAGGAGGGCAGAGAGGCAGGAAGACATGCCATGACTGGTGTCACTGAATTGTATACGTGAAAGATGCTGAACTGGCAAATGTTGTGTTATCTATATTTTCACAACAATTTTATACAGAAAGCTTATGGAGGAGGCAGGAAGGGGGAGAAAAAAAGACGTGCCAAGGTTTCGTTCCGAGTGGAACAGGAAGGGGGCTACTAGGGGAGCAATGACACAATCTGACTTAGGTTCTCAAAGAATCACTCTTGCCTCTTTCTGGAAAACAGGCTGTAAGGGGCCAAGGCTGGAAGCAAGATACAGGTTAGGAGACCACCACAACAATCTCTGCTATAAATGACGGGAGCTAGGACCAGAGCAGTGGCAGTGGAAAAGGACTGGACAAACTTCAAAGGTAGAGTTCCTGTGGTTGGGATGGAAGATAAAAAGAGAAGAACTACAACATTCTTGGTACGAGGAAATGGAAGAAGAAGGCCATTGTTACTGAGGTAGGGAAGATGGCAGGCGTAGGTTTAGGTGATGAAATCAAAGGTTCTGTTATGGACAAGCTGAGATGCCTACTGGGCATTCAACTGGTGATGTCAAGTTGGCCAACTGGATCTGCAAGTCTCAAGATCTGTGCTAGAGACATAAATGGAGGAGTTAGTCTAACAAGTAGCTTTTAAAGCCATGAGACTTAGGGAATCAAGGAATAAGTGTGTTTTAACGAGCCATTTTGCTGATCTCTGCCTCAGGTTCTCACTTTCAGAGCCGATAATGCCAGACTCACACTGTCACCGTGATGTTTAAGGCATAGGTCTTGAGTGACAGATAAAAATCTGCACAAGTACTAAGAGTGGAAAGAGCACCCTGGGCAGAGAAATCTAGAGGAAAGGGAACTGTGTGTTCAAGGGACACTGACCAGATCAGCTGGGCTAAGTCAATGTTTGTTCCGTGCAGGCCAAAAAAAACTAAAGTTTAAGAAGGATATGAAATTTTGATTTGAGGATCTGTGAATCTGTCAGAAGTTATATTTCAGCATTAAGGAATCAACTGACAAAGCATAGTACCTTAAAAAAAAAAAAGAAAAAAGATGATAAAAACATCCCCAAAATGACAAGGTAACAATCAGGTTTAAGTTACATAACATTATGTTAAAAATCTTTACTTAGATGGAGTCTTATTACCACTAGGTAGGTCCTGGCATAGGCAAGCAGAGTCTGTTGGTTATCTACTAAATCTCACAAACATCCATCTAGCACTAAAACAGCAACCAAAAATCCTTCCTGCTGATGAAGCCCTTGTTTCCCCATTCCTACTTTGGCAAACTTGAGGAGAACACAAGTGGCGCCTTGGGATTTCCATGATAATCAAGCCCTTTAATCTGAGTCTCGTTTTCCTCTTCTACAAAAAGGGGTTGGAGAAACAAGGATTACTAAATTCAAAGGATGCTGTGACGATCAAAAGAAACAGGTATATGAACACTGTCTACAAATGGAAATAGGAAACAAATTAATTGTAACTTCTACTGGTGACTGATACGTATTTTTTCATCAAGCTAACCAACAGTGAGACCCCATTTGCAGGGTGAATCACAATGAACAAACTGAGCCACCAAAAAAGAAGGAGATTATCTCCATCGCAGCCCACCCCCGACAGCCCACAAGGACACACAGGAACATGGAGTTCTCCACATACTCAATGTCTAATTGGATTGCATCAGAATAAAGAGCAGCAATTACTTCCTATTATTCCCTATTATTTCCTATTTTTCTTTGTTGATCTAAGGTGAATACCATCTCTTACTTTCGATTTTCATTAATATAGTGAGCCAGGTTAAGACAGGTTCCCAGCCTTCAACTCACCCACACCCACACCCACACCCACACCCACACCCACACCCACACCCACACCCACACCCACACACACAGTTCAGCTGGCCTCCATTTCTTGTTGACAGTGTTTCTACTGTGCTCCTCTTAGTTTTTATTCGTTGATTTTATGTTGTTTTGTCTGCTTTCTCAAAATAGCATCAAGTTGGAGCACAGCGATCTAAGCCGTTTTCTAGAGAAGGCACTTCAAATCCACTCTTTCATTTAGCACTGTTAGCGGATACGAAACAGGCTGCCTCTGAGTCTGGAAGCAGTACTTGGAGTGTGCTATTGACTCTGCAAACTATTTATGGGCAAGCCTCAGACAGGAGAAACAAAAAACTTCTGAAAAGGATATTCAAAGTAAAATCAGAGTTAGGCTAATTTCCTCACCACTACTTTCTGCTTCGGTTAAAGTGAAAGCGTGAGCTGAGTACCCATTACAGTTCCTCCCAACAAGAGGAAGGTACTCTTACATTAGTTACCGGTCAGTGAAGTTCAGCCAATTATTTCATCTATAGCTGTTTTCACCAAAAAGTATACACATACACAGAAACTAGAGGAAAACGAGAAGCTGGTTATACAGGTTTGATGTCACTGGACCAGAAACACACCAGTGCTCCTGACTGATGGCTGATGGCGGAGACTTATGTTAGAAGCACCAGTGAGAAGATGGTGGGAGAGTCCAGAGAGGCATCAAGAGCAGATCTGAGGCTCTGGCAAAGGACTGGATTCCAGAGACAAACAGGAGGAGTCTCACACCTTTGTTCACAGCTTTTCTTCCATTTGAAATTGCCTTTCCTAGCAAAGCCTGTCAATACTTTAACCATCTCTCTATGCCCAGGCCAAACCTTCTCTTCCATGAAACCACCCAAGTCTCCCCAGTCAGAAGTCACATTCCTTTCTACTGGGTTCCCAAATCTTGTTTATATGTTTCATGCAGGATCCCCCTTACTCAGCTTCGTAACTTTACGTGTGTATACAGCTTATCTCTCTATTAGCCTTTAGTTAGTTCCTTGGTGGTAAGAATTCTGCATCAAGCACTGTTCTAGATTGTATATATAAACACATACATAGAGAGAGTAAGAGAAAGAGTTAGTCAGTCTCTGGGTAGCACAAATAGACAACAGCTTGGCTACTAACCGAAAGGCTGGCATTCAAATATACCCAGAAGCATCTTGGAAGAAAGACTTGGTGATCTACTTCCAAAAGATCACAGCCACTGAAAAGCCTATGGAGCACAGTTCTACTCTGATACGCTTGGGGTCGCCATGAGTCAGAATCAACTCGACAGCAACTGTTTTGTTTTTTAAAAAAATATATAATTTTTTTTTTTCACAGATGAGACAGTTGAGACTAAGAGAGGTTATGCAGTTGGTCCAAAGACTCCCACTTGTTAAACAGAAGAGTTGAATCAAAACAAAGCACATCTCATTTCACAGCCTTTGCACTTTCTTTCATATCATGCTGTTCCATGTGGTTACTGAAAGATACATCTAAAATCAAGGCAATACTATAACAACCCAAGGCTGGAAGCCCTCTATATCCAGACACAGAAGTATCATTAAATTTAATCACCATATTTAGATTAGCCTCATTTGTCCCTTTTGTACTTGTCATTTTGCACTTCCTATTATGTCATAGGGAAGTATACACTCATCTCAATTAAGAGATGAAAAATGAAGATATAACAATAACTATTAGATTAGACCCAGGGAGGAAAGGGGGAATGTGCTGTCACATTATAGGGATCGCAACTAGTGTCACATAATAATATATGCATAAATTTTTACAGGAGAAATTAATTTGAGCTGTAAACTTTCACCTAAAGCACACACACAAAAAAAAAAAAAAGCTTCAGACTACACACACACACAAAAAAAAGAATTTCAAGATGACGGCAGTAGAGCATTAAACAAAGCAAGGGCCCTTCTGAACATGGTGCTGTGTAGCCGCCCAGGTTGTGTGCCCATGACATTGGCCCTCGCCGGCCCACTGGGCTCGTGAGAGGAAAGTCACAGGAGAGACACAGTGGATGCTGAGTCATCCTCTCAGCAGAGCACTGTGGAGAAGTTCACTTGTTCCTGCCTGGAACTGCCCTGGTTTCTGTCTTTTCCTTTCTGAGGCCTGGTTGTCCTGTTCTCCAGCTTTGCCTTTGATTTGGTGAGCCCCTACACATCCTTCCCATAAACTCCTTTTTGGTGTTGCTTTGTTTTTTTATTTTATTTTGTGTCTGTGACTTGCATGAAGAGAGCCTAATAGACACAGGATATTGACAAATTATTCCCATTTATTGGGCATATTTTTATGCCTGTCTCAACTTAGGCACAAGGGATAACGCAGGGAGCAATCAGTAAGCTCCTTGCTCTCACAGAGCTTCCTGAAAAACACAAACAAGAAGACAATAGATAAATAACTTCAAAGAGTTTAAAAAAAAAAGAAAAAAAAAAAGCTAGAAAGAAGTACCATACGATCCAGCAATCCCATTCCCTTGAATATATCCCAGAAAAACAAGAGCCGTCAAATCAATAGATATACGCACACCCACGTTCATTACA